AAAGACAAAAACAGAAAGCAAAATGAAATATAAAGAGAAGATGAAGTAAATTTGATCAATAACAACTTGAATTGATAAACTTCATAGCATTATTCATACAAGAAGCTCCATGAACGGACTTGGAAGTTAAGCATCACTAAAAACTAGAGAACTTAAGAACTAAACTAGAGAAATTTGAAAAAAAATTAGTGATTCAAGCTTAACTTAAACTTAATTTCACTCTGAAGGCTTATTTATACAACAACAAAAGTATACGAAACTATCAAGGTCTATTCGTGACCCATAATTACATAATAAAACTCAAAATAACATTATGCAAAATTGAGATTCAACAAATCCGCTTAGCGGATTTACGATTAACTTAGTTACATTAGTTCCGATAGGTTTCCGCTCAGCAAATAAAAAAGCACCGAGTAGATTTAAAAGCACTAAGCGGATAGCTAATTTTTAGAATAAGAGCTCTCAAGACTGATTTTCCTAAGCGAATTCAAAAGCGCTTAACGAATTCCATTGAATTTGTTTCTATATTTTCTTTAATTTATAATTCTTGGAAAAATAAAATAAATAATTAGTTAAAATGTAAAATTTAAGCAATAATTTATATTAAGATATATTTATTTCCTTTTTATAAAAACTATATTAACTATTAATAATTAATTTAAGAAAATACATTAAATATATATAAATTATATTAATAAAATTATTGATAAAATTTATTATTCAAATAACTCCCCACTTAAACTTTTACATTTCCAAGCAAAATAAAGTTTACAAAAATAAAAAAATGAAGATGCAATACATTTTATCAATAAATCAAGTTAAAATCAATAATTCAATTATAAATACTTCACAATCATAATGTTAAAATACAAATACTCTATCAATTTATTCCTAATTTATAACAAGTGATCAAGTGGTTATCATAATATAATTAAGATTAGAAATCCTCACATGGATAAATTTAATTGCACTTAATCACTCAAGTGTTTATGGTAAGTGTTTCTCTCAATTCACATCTCAAAAATAATATTAATCATAGGTTTGACAAAGTTCTAATAAAATAAACAAGAAACATATGCAAATTAAAGATCAAAAGATCTTTTAAAGGGTTGTAATGAGGTCAAAATTAAGGTATGGTATAAATAAATGGAAAATAAAGGTTAAACATGAGCATAAGAATTAAAAGGAAGAATTAGGGAATAATCACAAGAATACTATATTGAAATAAATACTTTACATTTTCTTTTTCTCATTTTAATGAAGTTAATCTTATCGCCTAGATTTTATCAAAGAATTTGCCATACAAATTATGCAATACTAAGGTTGACCTAGATTGTGTTCCCAGGGAGAATTGTTTTGTTTTGTTTCAATCTTGATTTTCAATGTCAAAAGACAAGAAATGGGGGAATTTTATGATTTCAAATGCAAAATAGTAAACTTAAAAGCAATAATCTAATCTATTAAAAACAATAAATGAAAGTATTAAACTTAAACTATGAAAGCATGTAAATGAAAGCATTAAACCTAAACTATGAAATCAATTAAAAAAAACATTTAAAGAAAGCTTTAAATGAAAGCATTAAAGAAAACTTATAATATAATATGTAAAAGTTGTAAATGCAGAGAAGTAAAAATATTGAATTAAATCTACTTCTATAAAGTTTTAAAGTTCTTAAGAAACATTTTAAACTAAGGTTTAAAAGCAAATTCGAATCAAACTTAAATGTAAATTGAAAATTGATTAAGAACAATGAAGATGATAAAAAGAAACTGTGTTGATTCACTAATCATAAACTTACTTTTATGATTATTATTGATTTCTATGAAATTGTCTTACGATCACAAAAACAAATCCACAACAGTTCCAATCAATTAGAATCCATTTGAAATTCGTATTCACAACTCAATTGTTAAATCAAACAATCACTTAAACCTAGAAGTTGAATTGTAATGTAAATGAGACATTCAATCAAATAGCCTCAACTACATTTACTGTAATGGATTATACTCGTTAGAATTATTGAGAACCAAATCTAAACTATAAAAAACAAGTTTTAACTGATGAATCAACAACAAAATCGAATTAGAACATGATAAACAAATGGAAAAATAGAAATAACATGAAAACAGTAAAGAAATGAAATGAAAGAAGATGAAAAAGATAAAAACAAAAAATAAAATGAAGAATAAAGAGAAGATGAAACAAATCTGATCATGAACAACTTGAAGCTAAGCATCACTAAAAACTAGAAAACTTGAGAACTAAACTAGAGAAATTTATAAATAAATTTGTGATTCAAACTTAACTTAAGACTTATTTATACAACAATAAAGGTCTACGAAACGATCAAGGCTCATTTGCACTCCATAATTACATAATATAACTCAAAACAACATTATACAAAATTGAGATTCGACAAATCCGCTCAATAGATTAGAAAGTGCTTAACGAATTTACAATTAAATTAATTACAGGAGCTCGACACATGTTTTGCTCAATGGATAAAAAATTAAATTTAAAATCACTCGAACGGATAAAAAAATCTTTTGATTATACAAAATATGATAAATTCTTTAAAAGACTAAATTTATTTTTTTTAAATAAAGATTAAATTTTTATGAAGGTAATTTTTATTTTTTATTTTAGTTTAACATGCTCTTTTAATCTATAAAAACATATAAGATTTTTGGATATTGAGTAGAATATTTTTTTTCATACCCTCCTTCTTATTTTTCAAAATAAACACACAGATCACCATATTGTTTGTTGAATTTTCCTAATACATTTTTTACTTTTAAGATACTTTGCAATACATGTTACATTGTGTATTAGTGGGAAAAATACATTATTAATTTAAAGATTACATAACAATAAGAGATGTAAAATTACAAAAGAAAATTAATAGTTAAAAATTTAGTTTTATTAATTATTATTTTTATAATATAGTAATTAAGAAGAGTTGTTATTTTAGAAACTAAATAGGATATAACAATAAAAAAATAAATTAAATTTATAATTTTTATTTTTAAATTATATATATATATATATATATATATATATATATATTAATCACACTTAATCTAGATAATAAAACTAAAAACTCATTTTATGTTTTATAGATAAATGATATGAATCTTGGTCTAAAACATTTACATTATTAAAATAATATAATTTTTAAAATAATTATTATAAAAATTATAAATAATATGTGATTTGATATATATATATATATATATATATATATATATATATATATATATATAAGAGATTTATTTACTTTAAATATAGGAGTTAAAAAATTATTTTTATTTTTTCATTTAAATTATTAGATTTTAAAAAATAAATAATAAATCTCTAAGAATTAAAACAAGTGAATTTTTTTACATATAACTATTGAATATTTATTTAAATAAATAAGAAGTTAGTATCCTGTCGAAGAACTAATAAACTAATATAAATTATGACTAACAATAACTGTTGAATATTTAAATAAATAAGAATTTACTATCACTTTGAAGAACTAATAAACTGTTACGATTATGACCGGAATTTACTATTTTGACGTACCCAGTAAGTAAATCGATCCTATCCCCTTATGTAATAACAATAGAAAATTGTGATTTTCTTATTCATAAAAAAGAAAAGACTTTTTTTAAATATACATAGACTTTTTTCAAAGAGGATTGTTTTTTTTTAAGGAAAGTAAATGTTAGTTAATACAGGAATCTTGCCACCCTCCACCGTTGCAGGGAAATCATGATTGTAGCCGTTACAATCACGCAAACACACCACGCATCTTTCCCATTTTGCCCCTACCGACTATTAAAAACGACCTTCGTCCTCCTTCGTCAGCTTCACTTCTCTCTTTTTCTTCCCAAAAAAAAAAAAAAGAGAAAAAGAAATTCACCTCCGTTTCGTTTCTTTTCCTTATTCCAACCCTATAAATATCAAACAACCATCGCAATTCTCCTCCACATTCCACTGTCGCGCTCTCTCTCTCTCTCTCATTCATTCTCCCTCGCCAAAGGTATGACCTAACTTCGAATCTCGTTTGAATTTTCCGCTTCGATTTCCTATTTGCTTAGCTAGCCTTCGTTCTCTCGAGATCTCTTCGAATCTCGCCGAGATCTGGCCGCGCCGATCTCCGATCGGCGCATCTTTTCACTTGTTTAGTTTCTCGAGTCTCTGGGTTAGTTTGCGCATTGTGCGATTCCATTAGCGAATCCGAGTGTGTTGTTGAAATGGAACGAAAATTCAGCTTTATTATAATCGATTCGGCGATTCGTGATCTTATTTACAGTGTTCTGATGCTTATTTTGTTGATGATGTAATGGCTGTGCTAGTTGTTTAGTTGAATTATTTTGCATGCTTGTGTTCTGATATCTGATTTTCGCTTGTTTTCTATTGATCTAAATTTTGATGCCGATTTGGTTTAACTGTAATGCTCTACATGAGATTTAGTAATATGTTTAACGGAAAACTGAACGAGAGTATTGCATGTCTCTCTTGATCTGTTGAACAGTGAATTTAGGTGAATATTTAAGGAAGTGAGGATTTAGAATATTATATGTGAATGCATGATAAGATCAATTCACTCTTAAATATTTTAATTATCAAATAGGATTTTAAACTTTTGTATCTGCTATCGAGTTTATGATTCAAAATTAAAAAAAAATAATTATGAAAAGTACACTAAAATATAAATAAATGTTGACTAATGATGTTAACTATTCTTTTTAATCAGTGCTTAAATTAGTTGTTTTTGCTCATGTTTTGAGGCCTTTATGCTTTGGCATTAGTGAAATGACTTTCATTGTTATGCCGAAGTTTAGCTAATTGATGTTGTTCTGGAATACGTTATTGAGTAATAAGACTTAGATGGATATACCTTTATTGTCAGATACGTGCCCTATTCTTTGACTTAGATCACTTTTATTTGACTTATCTTTGTACTTACTTGTGACGATTTCTTACAGAAAACATATTTTAGTTGCTACTAATGGGAAGTGTTGAAGCTGCAAACAAGGTATTCATGTTTTCACGTGGATTCACTTGTAGCCATTTTTGTATTTTAACTTGTTATTTTGTAATTCAGTTTAAAATGAATATTTCAACGTTTGAACATTGAAAATGTTGTTCCTTCATTGGCAATATTGGTACTATATCGAGCAATATATAGTTATCTATTTGTTTTATAAAACCAATTAGATTTAAGATTTGTTTTATAGCATTTTGTTCTGTTGCGGAGATAGTAATGAAGTATATATTTTGACTTTTTTTTTTTAATTATTCATTGTAGGATGCAAATGGAAGCCTCCCAGGGAAAAATCTTACCGTTGTTTTTGTGTTAGGTAAGCAGTTATTGATATCATCGAGGTTTCCAATCAATTTCTGGTACATTGAATTTCTTTCAAATTTTTGGTACCCTTACTCGGTACTTTCTTATCATATATTCCTTATATTCTACTCATTAGTAATAATTTGGTATATTGAAAATATCATGTTGTTAGCTTCTGCTGAAAATGTTTTTTAAACCCCTTAAAATTCTTTTCTTCATTGCTTAAGTTTACATGTGACAAACTGTATTGCAAATCCTTGATCTGCAGTTAGTGGTTTTTTAGTGTCTCTGGAGAAAACTGTTTACCTTTTAGACAAGGAATATGACTGATGAGTCGGGAAGTACATCACAAAGTTGACTAATTAACATTATTATTTTTTTATTATTGAACTTTCATTCTGGAAAAAGGAAAATTTGAAAGAAATAGTATACAAATAAATGTATGCTATAGTGAATGTTTGAAAATGATAAATCACACTAGGAATTTTGATTGCTTACAGTTACATTGATTCTAAGTATTTATAAATTGGTTTCAATCACTAATTTTAAGGCCCTATCCTATTGCAATTACTAATTCTAAGTATTTATAAATTGGTTGCAATCACTAATTACAGTTACATAGAGTGGATTTTCTTTGACATCTAAGTTGGGCATTCATCTGATAATTATATAGGTGGCCCAGGCAGCGGGAAGGGTACACAATGTGCAAATATTGTTGAAAAGTTTCTGTTTACTCACCTCAGTGCTGGTGATCTTTTGCGAGCAGAAATCAAGTCTGGTTCCGAAAATGGGTGGGTACAAGTTATATTCTTTACGCTAATATGTTAGTTATTGATTCCTGAACGTATCCTATCTTGTAAAACATCAATTGACTAGTTGTTCATTTCATTATTTTATAAAAGATTATGTGTACAGAAAAATCATATTTCTGTTGCCATGCATGTATGATTGTAACATTCACATATCCAAAATCTAATTAGAATTGCAGTTCACTAGTAATAATGAGAAATTTCAGTAACATTATATATTAACCATGTTTCTTTGCCTAGAATTCTTTTTATTTTTATGTGACACTTAATATTCCACCCCACATGGTTCTCTCTCTCTCTCTATCTCTTTCTTTTTTTTTCAATCTCTTTATGAAATTATAGAAATAAATATATAACTGAAAAAGGATACAAGGGAGTAACATCCCTTTTATTTTCTCAAAATTACCCCATAACATTGATGTTAGATCATGTGCTTATGTTTATTTTCTATAGCAGTGAGCACTATTGTTAGTCTGCCATCTTGTATTGTTGAGCTTAAATTGTCCATTTCATTCTTCTTGTTCATTTCATTTGTTTTACAGTACAATGATTCAGAATATGATTAAAGAAGGAAAAATTGTTCCCTCTGAGGTAACAATTAAGCTCTTGCAAAAAGCAATGCAGGAAAGTGGCAATGACAAATTTCTTATTGATGGTTTTCCCCGCAATGAGGAAAACCGTGCAGCATTTGAGAAAGTGGTAATTGAGATACCAAAATTAAAAAAAAAAATTAAATTTTAATTATTCCAATATAGATAATGGTGTACTAACTTTGATTTCCAAAATGCATTATGGCTTTGCAGACAGGAATAGAGCCAGCATTTGTCCTATATTTTGATTGTCCTGAGGAAGAGATGGAGAGGCGACTTCTTAGTAGGAACCAGGTTGAGATTTATTTTTATTTCTTTTTAATTATTTTTATTAGCTTGTGCAAATCATCACTGAGGACCATTTCTTAACTAATTGTAAAGGGTCGAGAAGATGATAATATTGAAACAATAAGGAAGCGGTTTAAGGTTTTCTTGGAGTCTAGTCTGCCCGTGATTAATTATTATGATGCAAAGGGAAAAGTTCGCAAGGTAATTGGTAGTTGTGCTTCTACAATGTTTTTCGTAACTTTCTTGGTTCCTTTGGTAGGGACGTCATATATATTTTTTTTTCCATAGATTGATGCTGCAAGACCTATTGAAGAGGTATTTGAGACAGTCAAAGGAATTTTTGGTCCAAAGAATGAGAAGGTAAATCACTATGTTCGTCTTATGTCAAGACTTTATATGTACAAGTTCCATTTTGTATCAAAGACAAAATTTGGGAAACATTGTCTTCCTTCTTAATTAGTAAGGTATATGTTATTACAATATGTTGTACACTATAAATTCACTGGTGATCGACTCATGTCTTCCATGAATATTTTAAGAAGTTGTAAAATTATAAATATTTAAATGAACTTCTTATTACCCTTTTTTCTCTATCAATTTTATCTCTTTTACTAAAATTCAAAGATAGGATTGATATATTTTATGCGAAAAAGAAAAAGATGTAGGTAACATAAATGAAAATGTTATCAAAAGATGTGTGCCATTCGAATAGATATATAGTAGCATAATTCAAAATTACACTCAAATATGAATTAGGTAGGCCCAGCTTGCTCGGCTTCTTCCATCATACTTTTTAAGAACCAATTACTGGCTCTCACAACCTATTCTATTGATTTAATTATGTGCAACATTCTCGAATGACAAACCTGCTATTGCACGTTTAAGAAAATTGTATTGAGCCTTAACCCTCAAACATTCTTAACCGCTCAAGGAAGATAAACTCTTGTGATTAAACTACTATTTGTATAATCTTTTGTATGCCTGCCCACATGTAAATATGGAGAATAGCAGAGTTACGACCGTTAGATGCTTGTTGACACTTACTTTGCTGCCACACTACTTTCTGGTTTCATAAGGGAAGGATACTTGAAAAGGAAATTTTTTTGAACTTAATTATATTGGAACCTAAATTAGGACAAGTTCAAATAATAATGTCCATTGCGTTTGATTCTTCTATTTTACACTTGTTAGATGGTGAGAACTTCCTGAGAAATTTAAACTTTAAATTATAAATGATCAACTCTTCAGCAGGGACAAATGACTATTTTAACCGTGAAAAATCAAATTTTTGATCATGCTAATTGAACTGTAAAATTTTTCTAGGAACTCATGTTCATCTGTGTTTTTTGCAGGCTGATTGAGCATGCTCACCTTTATTCCATGGTGGAAATTTAGAGGTAAATGTTGCATCATGAATGGTAAAACATGCTGTATTAGCATAAATTTTATATTTTTGAATGATGCATTTTACTGTACTATTTGGTCTTCATGATCACGCTTCTAACTAGTTGAAGCAATCAAATTCACGAGTAGGTTTTGAAGTTTAGATTTTTTTTTTTTTGAGCTTTAGCATTTTAAAATTTTATGCATGTTAGATATCCTTCCAAGTGGGTAATGAATCATCTTGTTGGAATTGCATTTAGGATACACGATATTTTGTAATAGTTTTAGATATTCTTTATGTCGTTTGGGTTAGTGCTGAAAATCAAGAATATTCTCTCTTCATCCAAGTTGTAGCCTTTAATTTTGGTATCTATGGATCATGTTAGTACTTTTTATTCTGCTTGGGTTTCTTTCTTTTATCACCTCCCTTTCCATTCCTATAAGATTTTTATAAATTATACACAATCACAGCCCCTTTTGTTAAAGAGTAACAAAAAGGATCTTTGCTTATTCGTTTCATACGTTGAAATAATAGAATTTATATTTTTCCATATTTGCATCATTTACTCTAATCAATCGAATATCATTTATCATTGATGATTTATTTGTCCATCTTGTTATTGCTTTCCAGGTCATATCAGTATTGGCTACTTATTCTATTGCCTCACATTTTGTCATTAATTAATTAGAAAATTGTAGTTTATACCTGACGGGTTTTACTTCTGTATTCTTCTATTGTTATTATAGTTTGTTGTCGTCATTCATTGATTTTGTAATAAAGATTTCTGTTGATTATTTCTACAAATAGTGTCTGTCTTGTTTATATAAATTCACACACTATCGTAGTGTACATACACACTATATATATATATATATATATATATATATATATATATATATATATATATATATATATATATATATATATATATATAAAGTTAAAAAACAATTTAACTTTGATTTTTGTTCCTTTACATAAAGTTTGGTTAGTAGTCTTAAATTTGATGAATTAAAAATTAAAAAAAATTATGAATATTAAATTTTTTATAATTTATAAATATAGAATTAAAAAAAATATATATATATATATATATATATATATATAAGTTTAAAAACAATTTAACTTTGATTTTTGTTCCTTTAGTAGATTTAAATTTGACGAAATAAAAAATAAAAAAAATATGAATATTAAATTGTTTATAATTTATAAATATAAAATAATATATATATATATATATATATATAAATACATAATTTTTATATATATTTTGTCATATTTCTCAACAGTCACTATTTTTTTACATTTAATATCTAACTTAACTAATATTTTTTATTAAAATTTTAAAATATGCATTAATTTCTATATAAGAAAATAATTTAATTTAAGTCTTGTTAAAGAGTAAGGTGACAAACTTTGTCATAGATCATAAAGGATCCAAATAAAATAAATCTGTAGGATCAGATAAAAAATAAGTTAAAAATTCAGCCTATTTTATTGTAGGTTTAATCATAAAAAATAGTGTTTAAAAACTTAAATAAAATTTTAAAATATAATTAAGAAAATGACAAATTAAAATTTGTAAAACAAAATTTGAACACATTTTTTAAAAATGTAAATTTGAAGAATATGTAATTATGAAATATTGTATACAAATGAATTAACATCATTTCTTAAAATAAGAATATGAATTTTTGATTCAATTTAAAATTATAGAAAATAATGTAAAATTATAAAAAAATTAAAAGCCACTTTAAATAAGAAGTGAAGAGATGAGGACACCCTGAAGCTTATTTTGGCTCAATGTCATTGACCACGAACTTGTAATTTGGGACAGGACTCAGAAAGTTTCAAAGCATTCATTGTTCACAATTTCGACAAATTCTTTTGGCAGAAAGTTATACTTCCTGTTTAGTATATGTTGCTAGGTGATTTTAATAGTTCTTTCTATTGGTATTGATAGGGCTCTTGCACAGTTTTACTGTATTCTATATTTTTATAAAAAGATAATATTGTCTAGCAGTAAAATAGGTTCTGAATTTATGTTTTTTTGAAAGAGTCATGGAACCAATAATCTAGAAATTTATTTTGTGACGTATTACGTAATGATCCATTTGAAACATATTAGAAAAAAATATACAGATTCCATGGATAATTTGAAATATTATAAAAAATATAATGAGGAAACGAATATGTGCAATTTCCAAATTTCTGTTTTTCCTAGTCTTTAAAGCATTATATTTAATAGCTAGCATCATCCATAGGGTTGAGTGCATGCAAAATTACAGAGCTTGCATTTTGCAATTGCATTGCAGCATGTGTGCAACTCGCAGTTGAGACCTTTTATTTATTTACCGGGTCAAAAAATTCTGATTTTAAGTAAGGTAGGAACGACGATTATGGCGTAAAAAAATTGTGTTTGAAGAGAGTTTGTCCGTCAACACTAAAATTATCTATGTAACAAAATCTTAGTTGGTTGTTTTTTTTTAGTGATAGGTAGCATACGAGTTTCTTCTTTTTAAAAAACAAAAAGATTATTTAATTTTTTAAAGTATATTATTTACAAAAAATTAATTTTAATTTAATAAAAAATAAAAATATTTAAAAGGCGTGGATAATTTAATTGAATATATTTATATTAAAATATTATATTATTTAAAAAAAATATAAATTTATTGTTGAAATGGACGAGTTTGTATGATTATATATTTTATTTCAATAAAAGGAACATTTTTTTCAACTTCTACGTACATTTTATTTCGAATTTGATTAGTAGTAGGTCTTCTTGATGTCTCTCGATACATATTAGAATCAGGACAAAAATTAGGACCTGTATAAGTATACCAATAATCTTCATTTCAAACCGAATGGAATTGAAATTCATACATTTTATGAATGCTTCATAACTTGTAAATCAGATCGATAAATGCAGATAATTACAAATGGCAAGAGGAACAAACAACAATAACATGAGAACAAGATAGTCGAAGAGCTTGAAATTTTCCATAATTACACTACCATTTAATCGAACTATGTAACTTATCGATCTTCGACGATGATGGAGATTGAATTGGTCTTATACGTCAAACTCAAAATTATCTCGATTGTACCTTTGAACATGACACATTCGAGCACATTCGTTTTTGTTAAGCATTGTAATAATATATTTTGGAAACTCGTGTGTCTAGCTCGTAATATGTACTCTGCTTTCATGCATCTTTCCACAAACCAGGATTTTGTTCTTTCAAAAGTTGTTTTCTTTTTAAGATAGTGTTTCTGGTGGAATTTTGATCGATTTCGATTTTTAACGGATTTTGTTCTAACCAAATTCCAACCACGTAGATTCTTTTTACTTAGGCTAGCAAACGATTTTCAATCGAAATGTGTATGAGGATCGAAAACCATGATGTTTGAAAATACTAACAACGCAACCTAATGTGCAGATTAATAATCGAAAATGCTGTTTTTTTTTGGGATTTTGTATTTAAAGCACTCGAAGTAAAGAAAGCAGTAAAATGTCAAATCGAAGAGTAGTACAAAATATAAAGCTGCGAAGAGATGTAAAATACGAAAACCTTAAATTTGCATTAAGTGTAAACGACAAAGAATCAAAATTGCGGGAATGTAAATGGCAGGAAATCGAGATTGCATAAATGTAAATAGCAGGAAATCGAGATTGCATAAATGTAAATAGCAGGAAATCGAGATTGCATAAAGTGTAAACAGCGAAAAACTTAGATGCATAATCTTAAATAGTCAGATAACAAGGAATCGAAAGTACATGAACTTAAAGTTGCTTGAACATAAACTGCATCAAAGTAAATAACATGAACATAAATTACCAGGAAAAGTAAAGAAAGCGATAAAGGCAGTCAATGAAAATGGAAATCCAAATCGCCAGAAACTTCATGATTGCGTCGTTCTCCTGTAGACTTCTCACTAGTATTTCTGTTCTCTCTGCCAATTCCCCTCTCCTTTTCAGTCTTCGCTCTATTTATAGAGCATCTTTGAAGTAACCTCCCAAGAGTGGTTAATACCACTATCCCCACGATCCTACGTACCCGTTCCTTTAGTTTTACAGTTTTAGAAACTGCACTCCACGTTCTTACGTATAAGAGAACTGCTCCTCCTTCGATCTCTGTTGCGGTTTAGAAACTGTTTCCCACATTCCCTGTGTGTGTTAACTGCTCTCTCGATCTCGATTTCAGACATTGAGTATCTTAAATTTTGCTTTTGATTCCCTTTAATTTTGTACTATTCTAACTTCAACAATAGGCATCGAAATTTGTTTCTTCGATTCTCGATTTTGATTCTCGATGTACTTTCATCTTCGTGGTTACTAGCTTTTACCAATTTCATCGAAAATACGTTCTCGATGTCTTTTACCAATCGTATGGTCTTCGATTTTTCCTTTCCTTCATTTTTTCGATCCCTTAATCGATTTCCCATTAACAGATAGGTATGGGTAAAACTTGTGTTCCTTTTGAGAATAAAATTCTCAACAAGATTTATTGTCATATGTTCATATCGTTTCCTTCCATCATAAGTTTGAGTCCATTTTTTCAATAGAATCTCATCTAACCAGGACATTTACTGTTCAAAGTCAAACCTTAAAGTAAATAGTTTTGCTAAAAGTGTGAGTTGTTTCATCTCATATCTTGCACACAAAAAATATAATTTAAGACATGTTATTTAGAGAGAAAATTTTGTGTAGGTTAGAAGATATTACCTAGATTGATTACTTGTCTTTTCAAATTAACATTTTTGAACTTTTTGTTGAAATTTGAGGTAATATGATGAATACAGTACACTGAGATTAGATCATTCCAATCAAGATCTTCTGATTGTAAAGCTGACAATATTATTTTGCCTCTGTTTGTTATCTAGCATAAATTATTTTGAAGCATAATGTAATATTTTAGAAGTTGCATGAACTATATCAATGCCTCTTTTGCTTCACCTTCCACAATTGTAAATGTAATTGGAAATATGTTTCTATTGTCATCTTATGAAG